CCATCGTTTAACCAACTGTTAATATACACACATACAACTACACCTTAGCACACCCTAATACTCGTAACATGTGTACATATGTGTACACATGCACATGCGAGCTTACCTTGGCATTAGCAAGGTTGGGATTCTGCCTGCAGCATGTACAGGCACTGTACATACATATTTATGACAATTTCAGCCGGAAATTCACGCAAGCTGATGAAAATCCTTGTAAACTCTACTCCACAACTACAAATAATCCCATACTCTGCCATACATAAATACAAGCAAGCGCATATTATATATCTGGTTTATATTGGCTGCGTCAAGTGTTTATGGCGTCCGAAATCTATTTTGAAAAAGTTTGAAATTACATTTCTTCTTTCTTGCTTTAACTTTGGCTTGTTAAAGAGTGCTAACATTCACTTTGTTGTTGTTAATATTGTTGTTGATTATATTTGGCGTGTTTACAGTTATGTATGTACATATGTGTGAAAGCTAGTTGCATTCAAGACAAATTTTCTTCCTTAGAATTGTTCTGTTGATTGGCACTATTGGGTTTCATAATCCACGTGAAGCTAGATGTAAGAGGAGACCTGAATGCGATGGATGTCACCTGCAATACTAACATACTTACATATATGTATATTACATTGTGTATGTATATGTGTTGGTATTTCAGTTTGTGTTGTTGTTTCCGCAAATTGCATTCTCGGTTTGTTCCCACTACATGGACTACATGGACGCTGGTTTCATTGCTACACGTGTGCTCTCTAGGCGTTGATCGAAGTCCGACAATGTAATTTCCACCATGAAAATTTGCTGTCAAACCGATAAAAGATTTTGTTGAAATTGTTTAATTGTCCAATTCGTTCGACGTAAATTATACATATTTTACAATGATCCATTAATTTTTTCCTTCGGTTTGTCTAAAGATTATGGTTATGGTTAAGGTTAAGGTTTCGAGGCCGAAGCAGACCCTTGTAGGGCACAGTGAGGTGATCTAGTAGCGGATGACCAGAGTACATTAAATTTATGGAGGCAATGGCAGTCACAATGAAACAACAGGAGATAGTAAACCCGAGATCCCAATCGAAGACTATGGAAAAGACGTTTCGTCACCCGACTATGTAGAAATTCCAATAACAATCACCCGCTCAAGCCGAGTTATTCAAAAATGGCGGTGAAGAACGGATCAGGTGCATGCATCAGCTTCTGTGCGCTCTGCTCAATCCATAACTAGAAAATTTAACTTAATTTTTTATTTAAACTAAGTTTATATAAATTTTGGTCGTTGGTCGCACCAGGATTTGAGCTCGAGCCTTCCGAATGGCAACACACAATGCTAACCACTCGGCCACTGCGGCTACCAGGAAGAAGTCTCCTTACTATCGCATATAAAGTCCTCTCGAGTGTTTTGAGTGAAAGACTGAAGCCCGCTGTGAACAAACTGATTGGATCTTATCAGTGCGGCTTTAGGCATGGTAAATGAATCATTAACCAGATATTCAACATTCGTCAAATATTGGAAAACCCCGTGAAAAGAGGATCGGCACACACCACCTATTCGTCGACGCTTAGACGTTTGTGCATTGTCCGAAATTTATTTTATTTTTCCTTCTTCTGTGTAGCTGTTACTTGCTACATCCAATATTTCCGGTCGACTTAATCGCCCCGCACAGTCGGTAATTCGAGCAGCCATTGATTGGTTTCACACCACGTTTACTCTAGCGAATAATGCCATAATCAGAGACTACGTACAGTATCCACCGAAAACATCATTGCTGCTGTGTACCAGGATCAGAGTATCGAACAATACTCTTATGAGTCCATCCACCATCGGGCACAATAATTGGAGCTGTTCCCAGGCACTTTACGGGCTAACAAAATCCAAATCTTGCAACAATCGAAGTCGAACGACCATTAAGCGCATTGCTTATTCGGTGAATGGATCAAAAACGAGATGGCAGTGGAGTGATCCATTGTTGATTCACCCTTACATCAGCAAAAAGTCACTGCATCGTGTACTCTGATATATTTTTTGTGAGGTTATGTGAAGTCGCTTATCTATGCAGATAAACACGATACGATTGATGTATTGAAAGGGAATATTCGATTATTATTGCTGACTCCAATAGCTGTCAGCCGCAGCGATGATTTACCCGAAATAATTAAAAATCTTGATAAAAAGTCGAATTCTTAAATTTATATACGTTTGATTTCTTCTTGAAATCTACATGCCTAAAACGGCACCCTTTATATATATATATAAATTTTGTTTTGTTATCTCTCATTTATTTCTTGTTTGAAAATAGCATAAAAATACAATAGTTTTGAAATGAAAATATGCCTCCCTACTAAAACAAAATTTTTAATTGAGAAAAAAATAATAATAATTTTTCCACAAATTTAGACCGAATAATTTTTTTTAACTAATTTTCCTATAGATGATATAATATATATGCATAATTGATAAACAGATCAGCAAATTGATTCAGTGGATTTAATTTAATTTTTAGTTTTTATCACAATATGCCAATGATGCTTACTCCAACACACAGAGACTACAATTTTTGTGGCCACAGATTTAACCGCCGTCCACACCACAAAGCAGATAATAATGGCAAAGCGAATTTACATACATATGTATGTATATATGCAGCCAGATAATTTGAGAGCAACATAGTTAGAAACATTTATACATATGTATATATATATTCATGTATGTACCAGTATATTCAAAGTGCCTTAGCAGGCAGAGCCGATTGTAATCAAAATTCGATAGAAATTGAAAGGAATTTTCAGGCTACATTTTTTTTTGGTTCGCCATCCAACCGCAAACAGTCATAAAAGCAAATTCAGATAAATCAACTAAAATAATAATAAAGTGAATGCATTTCACGTTCGATGGAAATCAATTGACCTTTCCGCACTTAAGAATATAAGGCCAGAATCTGTTCTGCTTTAATTGTTAAAAATTGTTTCCATTATATACAAAGTGGAATACTTTTTTCACAGTCGCCGTAGCTCATTACGGGTCAAAATGTTTTAAAATGTCAGATCCAGTTGAAAAAATCTGAAATTTGAAATAAATTATTTATTTTCTAATTGGCTTCATTTATTCGCTCTCAGTTGCGGCTTCGGATAACTTCCAAAAATTTTTGATATTCGCACAGTACAAAAAAGTTAGATTTTATTTAAAAATATTTTAGAAATTATTAACAATTCTTTGATTTTTTTATTTACAGCTGTACTGGATTTTTCCGAGCAAAAACTGAGATGAGCTAGTGAGCTAGTACACTTGCTGCGTTACCGCTAATGTTAAGGAAGCAAGAAATCTTAGCCTTGTATTTTGATTGATTTTACATTTTTCTAGTTAAAATTATTTCCCAACAAAGTTTTCGATTGTACAAGAACAAAACGTTTGACTTGTCTATCTTTTGCGATTGATAACAATCAGGTATCTAATATTCTTTTCCAACCGAACTTAGTATTCTATTAATGTAAGCAGGCGCAATAGCAGAGGACTAGAGCTCGAGTACCTCGCCCCTCGGCAGAGAATAGCAAGCCCTCCGAATGTTATTCTGACATGAAATAAAAATATTCTCATGAAAATTCATCAGCCGTTCGAAGGGGGCTTAGAATATACTGTTCTCTATCACCTGGAGACGCATATTAGAGGAGGAAATTAGCCGAAAAATCGATTCAACGGTATTATATTAGCGTCAAATATATGCATAGTATATACATACATATATATATGTATATTCATGTATTTATACATATGGTATATGTATATCACTTATGTATTTACGAAATGAAATAAGCTAACTAAAAATATTTTTGTATTCATATAAAATTTCAAAATTGAAAAAGAAAATCGTGAAAATAGCCAAAATCGAACAACTGACTACTGTGTTAAAAGCCATTAATCTCTAGGAATGATTGATAACCGTGAAATATTATAAATCGGAAACCAGAAGCCAATACCAGCGATGTGAAAAACATCCCCTGCGGGCTAGGAGTTCAAGAATTGACGGTACGGCATACCTGTCGTAAGAAGCGACTAAAATCCAATAGTTCCTGTGACACTCGGATCTTCATACCGGAACGACCCGGATTTTGAAACGGCCACTCCCGCAACATTCCCCGAAAACTACTTTGGAGAATATTTTTGTGGTTACAGCAACAACAACATCAGCATGAGAAAAATATCAATTAAATCTTATCGACTATTCGAATATGCATTTACTTGTAATGTAATTGATTATGTTTGTAAATAAGAATATGTTTTGTTTGTGCATTTGTATTTTGTATAAATATACATATACTTAAACATTTCATATACACACACATTTAACTACTTTAGTTTTGCCTTCGAGCTAATAAAACCATCACGAAGCAATAATTCAATTGAATCGAGAGAGGGAGAGAGTTTAACAATTAAATTCGAATCGATTGCACAAATTTGATTTCAATTCCAAATCGCTTGGCATAAAACATATAAGCAAGCATAAATATATGTATGTACATACAGAGCTATACCATATATGTATTGATGTGCATATGCATGTTTTGCAATGTGTCCTTTCATTTCATCTAATTACAATGTGTAGTCAGTTTAAACCCAATAAGTGTGATGCGGGGTAAGTGAAAATAAGCATAATATACACATGCACACATTCGTACATAGATATGTCCTTTGAAGAAGCAGCAAACCGATAAAATTAATAATACCGACAATGCACCCCACATTTTGATGTTTCGAGCTTTGGATCACATCTACAAGACGTGCGAGCGTTTCGAGTACTTATACAATGTTAAATGTGGTCGTGCGTTGCACAAACTTGTAGTTGCAAATTAAGTGGCAGTATTCGGGCTGAATTCACAACACGAGCTGGAAAAGCAACTTTTAATGCGAATAAAAGCTATTTCAATAATCACTTTTATTTTAATTTAATTTAGTTTATTTTATTTTATTTTATTTTATTTTATTTTATTTTATTTTATTTTATTNGAAAACTTTACTATACCCTCCCTGCTTTGATGGCCGTATAGTTTTGTATCCATCCGATCAAAATTTACGCGACTACCTCAGTTGGCGGCAAGCAGACGTTCATATTAACAATTTATATAATACAGCATTTTGGAATTTAGTGCTGAAATCGGGTCTTACAAATCAAGAAGCTGAAACTGAACTACGCGGTACATTCTCAGCGGATAAAAATGAATTACTATTTACAAAATTTGGAATTAATTACAACAATCTTCCGGCTATGTTTCGTAAAGGCACCATACTTTTGAGAAAACGAGTGAAAATTGAAAACAGTTTAAATAGACAACTTATTGTAGATTTACATAATGATATGATACGTGATAAATTTTGGAAAGATCACACCGAACTGTTGGGTAAATATAAGCCTGGTGATTACGTATGTGAATTGGAAAATATATCAACTGTGTTGAAACACCAAATAGATAAGCTTAATACAAATGAAAAACAAGAAAATATCGAATGTTGTAGTTAATATACAATTAAATGCAATTGGACCTAATGTTTATATTAATTAATTTATTTTTATATTACAAATATTGGTGTGTATGTTTTTTAAATATCCACGAAATATTCTTAAGAACATGATAATTGGAAAGACTCTATTAAAAATGCAGCAAGTGATATCCCACCCTTGGGGAAAGTACTAACAAGAGCTGGACAACATATATACATGAACATATTTATTTTCGTATGGACTAACAAAAATTCATAAGGTTGCTTTAATTTTAGTATCTTAGAGCAACAACCACAATAGGATATTTTGTTTATATTTCATTTATAAATGTTTAAATTTGATTGAAAACTGGAAAAATTATTTATATTGTCAATACTGCCATTCGGAAGGTCGGGGTTTGAGTCCTGGAATGTCCACCCCTCCGAGTGTATTCCTGACATGAAATAAAAGCTCCTTCGCTCACCAAAATTTGTAGGAGGAGCTCGACCGAAAACCGATCGTTTTCAGAAAAAAATTTTACTTTTTCGCTTGGTTACGATTAAATAAAACTTATTTTTTTTAACTAATCCGCAGAAAGTCGACATGTTTTGAATTTTTAATACAAAACAAAGACGATTTCAGGTTTCCTATTATTATGGCTTTTAATTTATACTGTTAAAAATTTGTAAAAACTTTTTAATTAATATGTTTGTAAATCGATAAGAGGCGGCTAAAATCCAATAGTTAGCGCGACAGTCGGTTCTTTACACCTGAACGACCCGGATTTTTATCCCGCAATATTTCCCAAAAAGTACTTTGGGGAATCATTTTGCGGTTGCAACAACAACAACANTATTCGAAGATGCAGCATATTGTAAAAGGAATGCAATTTAAATATAAAGTGTGTTATACATATGTCATAATATTTACTCGTGCCCATCTCTACATAAATATTATTGTATTTAAGTATGTTTACGTTAAAAATGCATCTGACATCCTCAAGGAAATCAGTGAGGATTCGACAAGTTTGATTGATGTAAAATTATATTTGAATAGATTTCGAGTCAAATGCTGCAGTCACATATGTACATACATCCGCGTCTATTTTTGTTAATATTAACATATATACATGAACATATTTATTTTCGTATGGACTAACAAAAATTCATAAGGTTGCTTTAATTTTAGTATCTTAGAGCAACAACCACAATAGGAATAAATATTTTGTTTATATTTCATTTAAAAATGTTGAAATTTGATTGGAAACTGGAAAAATTATTTAAAAAAAGTTGATTTTTTTTTCTTGGTTAAGATTAAAGAAAATTAAATTTTTTTCTTAACTAATCCGCAGAAAGTCGACATGTTTTGAATTGTTAATACAAAACAAAGAAGATTTCAGGTTTCCTATTATTTATGGAGAAATTTCCATGACAAACCATTACAATTATGTCAACACTTATTATGGCTTCTAATTTATACTGTTAAAAATTTGTAAAAACTTTTTAATTAATATGTTTGTAAATCGATAGATTCGATGAAGAAAATTGTGCCCTGCGGGTTAGGGGTTCAAGAATTTACCCGCGGTAAGGCATGCCTGTCGTAAGAGGTGACTAAAATCCAATAGTTACCGCGACAGTCGGGTCTTTGCACCTGAACGACCCGGATTTTATCCGACCAAGGATTGTCACTCCCGCAATATTTCCCAATAAGCACTTTGGCGAATAATTTTGCAGTTAAAACAACAAAAACATGAAGAAAATTGTGTAAAAGAAATTTTGTAGATTACATTTTTAAATTGTTTCTTTTGTTTTTAAATAAGATGTATTCGAGAAAATGGCTTAATATAATATAATTCCAAGGACGTTACCTCCTTGTAAGCTTTTACGCGGAAATTACGAATTAAGCTTTTTTCAGAAATTTTTAGGCTCCTTCCAGAAATTTGTTAGTTGTTTTTCGCTCCGTTTTTAGTGAGGTTTAGCAGTATCTCTAAAAAAAGACTTCTGACAACGCTTACGTCATACTAACTTTGAAATTGATACCTGACTTCACCAAAAGATCATGATAACTCTTCGACTAATCAGGTTATGTACTTATTTATGACAGACATAACCGTTGGACTTTTTTATGTGTATCCAAAGTTTGGGTTTACAGTTTAAACATATTTTTTTATAAGGTGTATGATAAATTCTACCTTGTCATGACTTTTTTTTGTATGTGACAAAAGTAAAGGACAAATTTTAAAATAGAACAGAGTATAAAAGTTATGAAATTCGTTTTTTAATTGTATATTTATTATTTTAGTAACTCTGGTAGCTAAGTCTAATTTCTTCAAATATAATTTTTTTTTTTGTAATAAGGGCTTGACTGGTTGTTTGTTTCTTTCTAATAGTATTCCCAAATTCATCATTACTTCTTTAAAAAAGACAAAAAAACAACTGTCTTTTCTAATGCGATGCAAATAAAATTAATTACGTAAACATATTGGATCGTTGGAGACTATTTTTTGCTTGAAGTAAAATCAAAAATTTTCAGTATTTCATACTCGATGAGAGCTGCTAGTAAAACCTGATTCCCACCCAAAGGGATTTTTGAACAAAAACGAATGCTTGGAGTTTTTTAAAATCTTTTATTTTTAAGTCTTAAACACAGATTATTTATCAAAAATTATGCTTCAAATGATATTTAAAATTTAATTACTGATAGTACAATTCCAAATTCATGCCATCATGTATTTCATCTGAAAAAATAGAAATATTTTAATTTACAATTGAAATACGCACATAAGAACTATGGATATGATTTTTCTTACAATCACATAAACGGATAGGGTCTTTATATATTGTGTACCACTTTTTTAAAACAATTTTCTCGGATTTTGTGCCCGTCTGCGCCGCAATCAGTTTTTTTAGATCACCAATAGTGTCATCGGGATTGCATTTCACACGCACCTGTAGTAAAGCCGCATTTAGTATTTCTGCAAATCAAATGTATGTATGTAAACATGCTTACCTTTTTGCCCAAACGATCATTGCAAGTGATTTCTATCATTTCGTATTATCTTTTAAAATACAAACAAATTTCTAGAAATAATGCAATAGTAAAGTCAAAACAACTCGCATGTAAATTATATATTTCAGTGCTATTAAAACTAAAATGTCAAATGAAAACTGTCACCTTAAATTTACTTAAGCTATGTTTCTACGACACACAAATCACATTTGCATTAACATTAATCCACCGACTTCACAACATAAGTCACAGAACGTGTATGAATAAGAAGCGGCAGTACGCCCAAGTCGAAGATCTTATAAGAATTCATATGCGTTCTTTGGTTCTTTGACTTTTGCGACAAAGAATTTTCGCTATTTCCGAAACTATTTACAAGTAGCAGCGGTGTGAATTGCAACACTGACTTTTATAGCACAGAGAACAAAAATGTTTATAGTAAAGCAAAACCAGCTGTTATATATTTGTAAACAAATTTATTTGTATTTCCAACATTAAGTACCATTACCAATTTAAAAAATCGTTTTTTATAGAAGTCCTGCATTGGCAACATGTCAATGATACCATTCTTTCCATCCTTACGGCCACAAATTGCTAATCGCATTTGGTTCGAAATTAACACACCACCCAACGAAGATGATGTTTTACGCTATGAACGTGAACATGATAATTGGAAAGACTCTATTAAAAATGCAGCAAGTGATATCCCACCCTTGGGGAAAGTACTAACAAGAGCTGGACCCGAAACTGACGACGAAGATGGTGTGCACCACAAAATAAATTCATAGCAGTTAAATGTTTGCATCTTTTTTAAATTACAGTAATTTTTTATGCTTACAGCAAATGATGATAGTGACGATTCAGATACTCACGACGATGATGATGATACAAATGACAGGGCTATTCCTGGACAACCAGAGCATTCAGCGCTCTATTCGCCTGGCGATGATATGAATCCCATAAATGAGGATGCACCAGCAACCGCTGATACATTATAAAATATTCTCCACTTTTATCCATTTTTCATTTGATGTAACTTATGAGAAATATAACATTCACTGTTTATTATTATTATTTCCAATGTATAATAGAAAATGTTCATGGGTCCTTCAAATGATTTGTTTAAGACCCAACCCAACCCAACAAGAAAGTAATAACAATGTGTGTACTTAGATTGTTTTTTTTTTTATTCCACCTATAATTATTATAATAAAAAAATATTTGATTGCTTAATTTCATTATTTAATTTGTTTACTATTTCTGTAATAAAATCTTGAAACTTTTTGGAGCCTGCAATTATGAACACAAATTTTGAGTAACTGTTGACTTTTGCACATATGTCAACTAAATGTGCCTCAGAAAAGCGTTCCAAACATGCTTTTTCTTTGTACCATAACTTTTTCAAAAACCAATCACATTTTCCCGTACATTCGTCCGTTTTACACATATCTGATGAACATTTCTGATGTGCAAGGTATATATGACTTTCATAGTTCCAGTACTTGTTGAAATCACGTAACAGATATCGGAAATATGTATGTTCTATATCTTTATAGCATGCTACTTGGTATACTCGACTTAAATCCTCTTCATCATTCAGGATATTTTTTACTATACGAATTGTTGCTGCAATAGCTACACCTTGTGATATAATGAAGACACAACGTTCTTTTTCAGTGCTGATATATTCCAAAGAACCTATAGGACCTCGAAATTCCACGTGGTCACCGACCTGAAGGTCTTTTATGTATTGGGACATATAACCACCTGGTGTAAGATTTACAAGAATTTTAAATTCCATCGCTAGCCCATCAACCCAAAACGGTGAATATGGCCTCAGGCAAACATGGCCTGTTGACATATAAGTGCGCATCATTACATGATAACCAGCGGGTATTGCCAAGACATAATCATTACTATTGGTTATCAGGTCAGTAACACCAAAATAAAGCTCAAATACTTCCGATAAATCTTCTGAGTTATTACCTATATCTGTTCCCTTCGGATTATGTCGAGTTTTGCTAAATAAACGAAATTTTTGATAAGTTGCAATGACATTTTGTTTGCCGGTTAGAATTTCTCCTGTCGACTTCGGTAATCCCACATCTAGTACACAATTTGCACAACCATTACCACAGCAATCACTTTCACTGACCACAGCTGTTTGGTCCATTATCACGATAAGCTATGTTCGTTGAGGAATGTTAGTAAGAATTAGCGTATCGAAATATGCACCTCTGTTCGGTGAGAGATTCTAATAATAATTATCCAGTAACGAAATTTCGGAATTGGGCTCCCTTGGCGCAAAAATTATTTTTTTTATCAACCAAACCCGGTTTAGTAAAATTCCCTAACTAATAGATAAAGTAGCGGATATGGTTATATAAAGTGATACAAGTCACACAAGTCCAAGAAATTATTTAATAAATCAAGGCATTTTTTAATAAACACTCGCAAAGTGGAAAAAAAAGTTTCGTTGCCCATTTTCATAATTCTTTTCAAAAATTTTAAGATATATAAATTTTCTTTTGAATCTTTGCAATGAATATATAATGCATGAACAACTCGTTGCATAATCATGGGATCCCTTGTTGGATTTAATAAAAATGTATTTTATAATTATTTTGTATATATATAATTAAAACGAAGTATTTATTTATGTTAATAAATGTAATTTAGGTTATTTACTCACCAAAAAATAAATATTCTAGTAATTTTAATGAAAATAAACACAATGAAGAGCCAAAATGCGAGACCCTGTAAACAGCTGTCTCTCGCAGTTCAACACATGTCATACCATTATTATACAAATAATTTTTAATAAACATCATTTCCTAATAAGAGGGGTATAAGGTTAAGATTATATTTTTGTATGAATATATGAATAGTTAACTTTGTTTTATATAGAAACTTAATCACGCCTATGCAACTTTACAGAAGTCCAATTGTTCAATTGCTGAAGCGATCGGCTAAACTTCTTTGTCAAGAACGTGGATTGCGTATTCCTGGCGGGATGGCCTGTAGCCGATTTGAATATGTAAAAAGTTTTGAGCAGGGTGATGATGTGTTACAAAATGTTTGGATTGTGATACGTCTAGATGGTAAGGGATTTCATAAGTTTTCCAAGGTGCATGACTTTGATAAGCCAAATGATGCAAATGGTATGTTTTACTCTCGAATTTTCAAATACACAAACGTTCTATTTTCACATTACTCTTTTCTTACAGCACTGAATTTGATGAATATTGCCGCAGTAGCAGTAATGGAGGAATTTCGGGACATAATACTAGCTTATGGCCAGAGCGATGAATATTCATTCGTTTTCCGCAAAGAAACTAATGTTTTCAATCGTCGAGCATCGAAGTTGCTTTCCTATGTAACCAGTTTGTTTACCTCGTCATATGTATACAACTGGATGCATTGTATGTCTAAGAAAACTTTACTATACCCTCCCTGCTTTGATGGCCGTATAGTTTTGTATCCATCCGATCAAAATTTACGCGACTACCTCAGTTGGCGGCAAGCAGACGTTCATATTAACAATTTATATAATACAGCATTTTGGAATTTAGTGCTGAAATCGGGTCTTACAAATCAAGAAGCTGAAACTGAACTACGCGGTACATTCTCAGCGGATAAAAATGAATTACTATTTACAAAATTTGGAATTAATTACAACAATCTTCCGGCTATGTTTCGTAAAGGCACCATACTTTTGAGAAAACGAGTGAAAATTGAAAACAGTTTAAATAGACAACTTATTGTAGATTTACATAATGATATGATACGTGATAAATTTTGGAAAGATCACACCGAACTGTTGGGTAAATATAAGCCTGGTGATTACGTATGTGAATTGGAAAATATATCAACTGTGTTGAAACACCAAATAGATAAGCTTAATACAAATGAAAAACAAGAAAATATCGAATGTTGTAGTTAGTATACAATTAAATGCAATTGGACCTAATGTTTATATTAATTAATTTATTTTTATATTACAAATATTGGTGTGTATGTTTTTTAAATATCCACGAAATATTCTTAACAAAGGTTTTCCTAAAATTACACTAATTAATTAATAGTCCTCATCATCATCATCTTCATCTTCTAAACCTCCACCGCTGGTGCTAGACTGAGATTTCATTTGGCGATGCATTAGCTCAGCGCTTTGTTGAACGGCCGTTGCTTGCATATTAATCCATTGTTGTTGTTCCTCACGTGCTTGCTCTTCACGCGCTTTGGCGAAAAGCTCTTGTTGTTGTCGCAGCAGCTCCTCTTCAGGTATGCCTAGATTTTCTAAGCGCGTGCTTTGGCGTCGGCGCTTCGCTGCAACTTCTTTGCAATCGATGAGAACAGCTTCCGCTTCTTGTTTATAGTCATTAAAGCCCAAGCGATCCAACGCTTCTAGTACGTGTTCAGCGTTAATTGTTTTTTTATGACGCTGATTACACACTTCATTTGCTTCAGATGATATTAAGTGTATAAATTCCGTGCAACAGTTAAGTATAAGTTCCCGGCTCTCATTGGCAACACGCACAGACGGTACAAGTTCTTTGATAATTTTGTTGATACTTGCTCTTGGCAAAGTCAATTCATCATCTTCAGTTGGAGGGGGACATAATTCGTCATCTGGATCTGTCATTTTTTTATATAAACTTTTGATTTCAATAATACAAAAACACAGAAATTCGCTATACTTTCAACTTATTAAACATAAAAACAATTCTTTATTATTGTCAAAACCAAACAATTCAATGTCAAAGTGACAGTGAAGGCAATTAAAACGGAAAAATTTCCCTAGAATTGACAATTGGGTTTCGGGCGTAATGAAGTGTTGTAAAATTATCCCAATTATAACATTTCAAAATCCTTTTTTTCAGCAAATTTATGCAACTTGTAATTTTTGGGTTTTTATGCAAGCAAGTTTATGTTTAATGCTACAACTTATCTAAAGAAAATAAATGCAAACAGATTTAATTTGGTTGTGAAACAAAATTTCCCTTAAACCTTTAAAGTCGTTTTGCCAACACTTACATCAACTTACATAAGAGGAAATTCTCAACACCATTCACTGTCAACTGCTTCGTGTCGTGAAAAAATTTGGTAATTATCGTTTTGCATAACCAACTTTTGCAGAAAATATTGAAAAATAATTAATTTAATACTACTTACAGTTTCCTGCGCGGTCCGAAACTTCAACTCAACAAGATGATGATGCAGCGTGCCAACCTTTTGCTCCCCGTTGCCATCGAGGCGACCATCCAATCGCAGCCACAGCGCGGCATGGCTACCCTAAAATCTATCTCTATCCGCTTGAAGTCCGTAAAGAACATTCAGAAAATTACGCAATCCATGAAGATGGTATCAGCTGCCAAATATTCGCGTGCTGAACGTGATTTAAAGGCTGCTCGTCCTTATGGTGTTGGTGCACAACAATTCTTTGAGAAAACCGAAATCCAACCTGAAGATAAAGCCGAACCAAAGAAGCTTTTGATCGCCATGACCTCAGACCGTGGTCTATGCGGTGCCGTACATACAGGTGTTGCCCGTCACATTCGTAATGAATTAGCTAAGGATGATTCCCAAACTAAGCTGTTCTGTGTTGGTGACAAGTCTCGTTCCATTTTGTCACGTACTTTCGGTAAGAATATTTTGATGGTAGCCAATGAGGTTGGCCGTTTGCCACCTACTTTTATTGACGCTTCGAAAATCGCACATGAAGTGATAAAGACCGGTTATGAATTCACCGAAGGACAAATCATCTACAACAAATTTAAATCGGTGGTTTCATATCAGTTGTCTACACTGCCAGTGTTCACAACACCAACTGTAGAGAAATCTGAAAAGTTGGCACTGTATGACTCACTGGATAGCGAAATTATTCAAAGTTACTTGGAATATTCGTTAGCCTCTTTGATTTTCTACACCATGAAGGAAGGTGCTTGCTCTGAACAATCTTCCCGTATGACTGCCATGGACAACGCGTCCAAGAATGCCGGTGAAATGATTGAGAAACTCACACTCACATTCAATCGTACCAGACAAGCTGTCATCACACGCGAATTGATTGAAATCATTTCTGGTGCTGCCGCTTTGGCTTAAACATAGAAATATATCGAACGATTTTGAAGTAATACAATTAAAAAATGGCTTTAGGAGCACGGAGAGATGGTGTTTAACGATGAAGCGAAATATGAAACGAACTATTCGCCATGAGATAAGTTGAACTTTGAAATAAAATATTATAACAAATAAACCTTAAAATAAAAGACTTTTACTGAATTCAGGAATTTTGTAACTCATTGAAAAGGAAAGGGATACAAAGGATTATATATGATATGGCTGCGGGTTGTATGTATAGCTTTGATTGAAATTCGGAAAGTTTAACACAGTATGGATAATTTTGAGAGAAAATGGAAATAATTCTAACACTAGTTTCAGATTTTTATTTTATTTTATTTTCTAACACTATTTTCAGATAGCTTTTTTGGAGATTTCAGTAGGTAAAACTTTCATTGCAAACTTAAATCAAAATTATCAAATGCAAAACAGTTTCTTTCAGTTTGACTTTATTTTTAAGAAAATAATTCCCTTGAGTAAATGTTTTCCATCATAGTTTCTTTTCAAAAATTAGTAGAAATAAAAGGAAATCTTTGTAAAAAAAAAGTATCATACATCTTTATCAAACGAGTTTTGAAAAATTGGAAATATTGAATTACTTAAATATAAGCTGTTTTTCTTTTCGGCTATTGAAGTAAGTCTATTGATTTATTTATTTACATAAATATTTGTATGGGTAAAATTAGCGAACATAGCTGAAGAAGTACATACCACAACCTGAATAAGCTTAACTTTTCGAACTGTTATTGACGAACATAAAACTTAACTTCTTAATTTGTATATAAATAATTTACTTTACAAATAGGAAAGTATAAGAAGCATCGTTTTGCATTTAATTGGGTCATTGAAAACATTCATTAGAACATGTTTTTGCTCTCTGTATTATAAATTCGCAAATTCTCTCATACTCCATACTCCTTTTGATAATTTCCTACATTGTTTTTGTTTTAATTTGTTTCTTTCTTTGTTTTATTTACTTTTATCATAATTTTTCCCATTTTATGGTTTTATCGTTTGTTATTATAAAAAGTTGTCTAATTTATGAAACAAAAAGAAATACATTTATATAAAATAATAAAAATAATGATTTTCTCTCCAGTGCATGGGTATGCTCCAAATTGCCTCAGCAAAGTCTACCATTTCTTTTTATGTTCGTCCATGGAAACACCACCGGGACCTAGTGATACAATCATTAACAAACCGCCAATGACGGAGAGTGTCTGAAAATTAAGAAATAATAAAAATGTAATATTACATAAAAGTGTATTTCAAAAACATAAATGTTTATGTGTGTGCATATATACTATATTTACATACAATATATGTATTTTATATTTAGTTGATTACCTGGAAAAAGTCATATTTCAAAAAATCTCTAAGTGGCTTATAGGAAGGAATGGTCCACCACGCGTTATGGTATAAATTCAAAACAGTCAATAGTGCTACGAGTATGAGTGCGGACAATTTTGTTTTATAACCGATGGTAACTAACACCATCAAAGTCGAACCGACGATATCTAACAAAATCTAAAAATAAAGAAAAGGAAAAAGCAAACGTTTCATGTATTGACATAAACATGTGTATGTATGTATGTATATATATTCATGTTATATTATATATATCTACCTGCAGGAAGCTCATTTCGAAACGAATAAGCGTAATAAACATAAATGCAAGCAGAATACGACCAGCGAGCTGCATAACATTCTTCGGTTTATTCTCACCAAGCGATGGAACACCAGCGAAAAGGCTACGACCTTCCACACGCGACTCCGCTAATACCAATAGCAGTGCACCAATTAATGCAAGATTACGTAACAAGAATTGTATATCCCAAAGTATAGAATAAGCGATTGTCTATTTGATTAAACAAAAATTTATGTTTGTATATTCATATTGTAAATTTTATTATCTAAATGCAATATGTCATCATACCTGTAGCACAACAATGAAGAAGAGCACACCAACAGCAATCTCGACTTTAAACCTAGTAATTACCATCGCACAGCCACCCAGTTGTCCAAATAAATTCACAAGTACAAAAACTGTCGCTAAAAATTTGCCACAGCCCCAACTCATGTCCATATATTCACGTTGCTCGTTCCATTGGAAGTACATACGCAAGCCATCTTCGAAAAATGTTGCGATTAAACACAGACGTGCTACTGTGGGCAGGATATTTTTACCGCGACGAATCACCTTAAAGTTGAGAACAAAAATTTTGACATAAGTATAACAGTAAAGAGTTTGTATTCTAAATAAAAAAAAAAAACATTTTTTATGCATATATAAACATATTTCCTTATCACATTTAGATAAATGTACTTATGAACGTATGAAAACTGACAAACTGATAAATAGTCTCTGAAAGATATACACAAATTTTCAATAGTTTTTGATTTTAGTTATCACTGATCACATTTTCAGATAATAGAGAAATTTGAATTGTGAAAATATTGAGAAAACATTAATTTTTGTAATGAAATGTTTTGATTAAATTGTATGTATGCTATAAAATATTATCATAATATTTGTTAAGATTATAATTTCATTGAAAAAAAAACTGAATTAATAAATATTTTTTTTTTTTTAATATTACGCGTCGAACTGTAGAGACGAATTTATATTTTATGCCGGCACCTTTATTATACATACATATCTTAAATACAAAAAGGTCGCACTGATAGACAACGCTTCATTAAAATCATAGTAGCTTCTTCATATAAATCATTATTAATTTCAAACAGTAGAGGTGCTAGTCATATTTTTTACAGCGATCATTATTGATAGACATTAAACATATTTAATATATTTAAAATGTATATGATTATTTTTATAAAAATAAATATGTACGTTATTTTTATAGCAAATATGCAGCTAGCAATTTTACTCGATAGCAATTCTCGTTCTAATAAATATTTGCTCTGACGTCGAAATAAAAAGTAAGAGAAAGTAAAAGTGTGATAATATAAATGCCTACATAGATGATAAAAGCGCATCTTATAGCTAAAATTATTTGTGTTTATGAACTGGTTCCATCGCCAATTCAGTACATACATACATATGCACGTGTACAAATATATAGACATACATACATCATATATGTATTGCGTTGGTATATATGCATTACTAAACTTTACACAGTTGGACTGAATATATTTCCAGGTAAGACTGACATTGACAATGTTGAATTTGAACTATAAGACAAATATCTAGCAGTGCAACACGTGTTATTAAGAGAAAATCTTATTTGATTGACAATAAAAAAAATATTTTGGTGTTATTTTATAATTTATGCAAAATATACTACATGTATTATGTATATATGAGCATATATTTGTATGCATGTATGTATATCACTATATCTATATATATATATATATATATATGTATATTTATGTACATATTTTGAGCCCGGATATGTTTAATAACAAATAATAACGTTTTTAAACTCATTTTCTATCACATATACTTATATGTACGTCTGTGGTTACTTTATAAACTTTAACTTAACTAACTTTTACATTTCATAGTAACAAATACACATATGTACATATCTATGTATGAACATCTTTGAAATTATGTAAATATGAAATCAAAGTGCATATGTGGCATTTTACCATAATGGTCATGCCATTGCTGCCTTAACTTTAAATGATACTTTCGAAACCTGAAAAACTCTATCAATAATAAAAAATGAGAGAAACTAAACTGGTCAAGAGAGTACATCTGTCTAGTTTAGAGCAGCGCTTGAGCTGCCGAAAGAAAGTAAAAGTTGGCTATAGTAACCACTACATTTTGGGTACATGATGAGAGGCGGGGGAGTATCCAAATTTTTTTAACACATAGTAAAAGCAAGCATTTGTAGATACATTCAAATACATACATATGTGAGCAAGAAGTTGACTGACAACGGAAATGGCTAAAAGTTTTTGCTGAATTTCATTTCACTTTTAGCAACTACAAGCGATATTAACAAAATATAAAAGAGCTGAATGTATGATTACATCAAAACTTTAGTATTTAAATATTTACATACATTCGTACTTACAAGTATTATCTACTAACAATTTGCAACAAGTAAGATTAATGGAATAACACGTTATAGTTGTGCCAGCATTAAAAATAATTGCAGCTTTTATAGAAAGATAGTAGCCAACAACAAATTGCTGTAGTGAAATAACATACGTTTTTTTTTATAAGGCGGTGAAGGGGGAAAATGTAGTGAAAGATTTGTTTGAAAGATATTCAATATTTGCAAAAATCATTGTGAAAATTTATCAAAAGTATTTTTCACCTTTTGTCACAGACATCAACTTTTATTTCATTGTCGCTCTAAAATCGAACTACTGATATGATCTTCGTGATAATGCATAGATGTATTTATTATAAACACAATCTAGCACGTACAAATGTACATTAGAAAAACTAATTTAAAAAAAATGCTACACCAGCAACAACAAAAATTACTGATACGAATGGATGACGTTGACAGTTTTTTTCGTAATCTACCGTGCGGCTAGTCGATTCTGCCGCCCTCTTCTCATCCCATTGTCTAACACCAGGATGACAACCGCAATATAAATTTATTTAAGCCGTTATGCTGATAAACACTTTCTTTTATAAAATGCACAACACAATTATTATTTTATAAACTGTTTTAGGTTGACCTTTTTCCCACACAATCTTAATCCAATGGTGTAATTTACAACTTTCGACCAATTTACCTGATCCGCCACATCCTCCGTTTTCGAAATGTATTCGTTGGGGATATTCATTTTTGTTTGTGTTTAGAATTTTCGTCAGTTTCCCGGAACTTTGACGTAATGGAGCAAAAGCTATAGTTATGGCTTGAGTGAAAAAGCCTTACTTTCTTTTACAATTTTACACGGACGTTTCTATATTTAAAATAAAAAATGTTAACAAAATCTCAAAAAGCACGAACTACTTAAACACGAACCAGCGAACTACGAAAACGAGACAAATGTTGGAAGAGAACACGTCTGCTGCATGATAACAGTGTTGTATTTCATTTGAATATTCAGTGCTGTGAATTGCCGAAAATTATAAGTGAATGAGGTTATGAAGTTTTCAGAAATACAAAGTTTCTTTCTACAATGAAATTGATGAAAAATATAATTTGAGAAAACATGATTAACTTAAAAGTTTTTTTTTATTATAAAATGTCTAAAATATTATGGAAAAGGAGTTTGGAAGCATATTTGGGTATTCACAGGGACATCGGATTATATAAAATTTACGTATATGTCACTTGATGTAGGGAAGTTACAAAAATGTCCCATTCGCCGCTTTGAAGCATTTGTAGTGTTGTGCAAAATTCTTGTTATAATTATTTCTTATTTGACTTTTTCGTCAGAAATGACCACATACATTTGCAGCTATATATGACCAGTGCTTGTATTTTTTTACGAAATATATAAAAAAAATACAACGAGCTCGAGAAAATTTTAAATATAATGTAAATTGGTAGTACAAAAGAACAAAAGTCAAAAAATATACATATGACAGATGGTGAATATAACAAAGAAAAAATTTGAGTGAAACTATCGTGTTTTCGTAGCATGCATATCTAGAGTATTTAGTTCTCACAGTTAACTTAGAATAAGTTCTGCGTTTCTTCTTTTTGTGAAGACCGTTATTAACAGCTATTGCCACCCTGTATTTAATTTGAAGTATTTTTATGGTGAGCGTTCCGAAAGTAAGGCGAAAAACGGAAGGCCAAAGCGAATAAAAGTTTTACGTTATACTTATTTTGCGCTTCTGACGAGTAGACGAGTAGACGTGTGCAGATTTACCTTTGTGCGTATTAAAAATTTTATATTTTACACACAATTGTTAATAATAAAAATAAATTATTAAAAAAGTGAATTGAAATTCTTTAAGAGGTAAGCTGATAATAACTAATAAAATATTGCTTTCTTGGTGGGTTTTTACATGTTTAAGAAATTATGCAAATATCAATTGGCCGCCATTTTGTTTTTTTCTTTATATGGAGAAAATTCCACGCCTTCATTTTGAAGGAAAAAATATCAATAAATAATTTGTAATTTTTTCAGCTTTCGTTTGCTACTATTATATAAATAAAGAAAATGCCACGCTATCGTGAATGGGACTTAGCTTGCAAAGTCTACGTTGGAAATTTAGGATCCTCTGCTTCAAAATATGAAATAGAAAACGCCTTCAGTAAATATGGACCCCTAAGAAATGTTTGGGTTGCTCGAAACCCACCAGGATTCGCGTTTGTTGAATTTGAAGATCGTCGCGATGCAGAGGATGCAACACGAGGCTTAGACGGAACGTAAGTTATTATATATATATATATATATATATTATTTTGTACTGTACTTAATCATATATATACATTTTCCAGACGATGCTGTGGTACTCGGATTCGTGTTGAAATGTCTTCGGGGCGGTCACGACGAGATGACAGACGCCGTGGTGGCGGCAGCGGTGGTGGTGGTGGTGGTGGTGGAAGCAGCAGCGGCGGCCGAGGTGGTGGTCGCTATAGGTAAGTGCACTACTAAATACATATCCTTTATTTTAGCCTAAAATGGCAAATAGCGAAAGTTATCAGATTTTGATTAGATGAAGGTTGGATAAAGAACATGTGCATTAGTTGGCACTTTTTAAAGAGTTATATTAAAATCATTTTTTTTTTATTCTGGTAAAAAGTTTTATGGCGAAATGTTTTAAAAAATGGTTTTATGCAAGCTTAAGAAAATTGTTTTATGCAAGCTGCTAAAGTTTTACATATAGTATGTAATGTGTTATTTTGGGCGATTGTTGATTACACAATATCTTAAAATTTTTATTTAGTTTTTGTGACGGAGTTGGAAGAAATTTTAAATGTAGTTTATGATAATCAATTTGCAGGATAAAGTCTACTGCTACTACTACTTCTACTAGATCTTCTACCTCCTCTTCCTTCAACAAAAACTACAAAAACAACATCTTCACGAATCACAACTACTGCTCCTTCTCCACAAACTTCACCACGACCAGCAACAAGCTCAACTTAATATCGTTCAACAACAACATTTTTGATTGTAGAGAAAAGAATGTTATACAACAATTTTTTAACAGAGAAAATCAACAAAATTTCGACAACAACAATTTTAGTAATAGCTACCATCATTATTTTCAACATCACCAAAAACAACTACAAGAAAAGCCTCAACACAGTACTTCCATCAATAAATTTAAAATCATAGTTTTTATTATCAACACCAACACCTTGAACACCAAAGACACCATCGTCACAACAGTCTTGCACATAAAATTTGCTCTCGTTTTCGCTGTAGTCATTGTCATCAACACCTATCTAACAATTGTTGTTGTCGTAATAGAAAACAGTCACAGTTGTCCTGATGTTAAGTGCAGTAAAAGATCAGCAATCATTAGAACAGCAACTACTACTACTAGTCAAATAACTACTACTATTACTACTGCTACTACTACTACTACTGCTACCTCAACTGCAACTGCTTCTACAGTCACTGCAACTATTGCCACTACAAGAATTAGTGCAACTAGTAAAAGTGTGCTTGGGCAGCAGGCGCAGGAACAGCATCAAAGGCCAAAGTTAAAGCATTTACAACAGCCATCATCATTAATACCACTTCTACCACCACAACCACCTTAACAACTTAAATATATACTACCACATCCTTCTCCTCTGTTTATGCAACAATTGACTGTGTGAAAGTGTCCACAACACAACTACCTTCAGCACAACAAATACCACCACTACCAACAACAAATAATAACATCGACATTGACAAAAGAATTGCATACTCATGTAAAATATAACTGTACAGTATGCTTGATCGGGTAATGTATGTATGTTTGGACAACCTCAAAATGAACCTAAGGTTGCTCACACGAAATAGGTGCCTACAAAGTAATTATATCGAATTACTTGATTTTTTCATCTATTTAACGAGCTCTACAACGCATTCACTTTTTGACCGAAATTAATAACAACAACTATCATTGAAAACTAACATTTGAAACGACAACAATCAACAAGTGATATTACAAATGTTTTTAAAGGTTGCTGAGTTATTAGACAGACTTACGGACATGACGAGCTTTGACTTTATTTCAACATGAATTTATATCGGAAAAATGTTCGGAATTTCGAAGGTTTGCAAGTTGCTGTCTTCAATCGGCGTCATTCCAACAGTTCTTCAACAACTTCAACTTCACTCTTGCTCTTTCTGCAGTCGTTTCAACTGCAAAATTACATTTCTGCAACAAATGTCCGGGCAATGTTTCAACAAAGCAATCTTAATTGAATCCACTCAACTCAACTAAGTGCAAAAAACAGCGAGGCGGAAATCAAAAAATATTGAAAATCATATTCCACTCTAAAAACGGGGAAGGGTAGGTGTTACCATGATCATCGTTTTTGGCATGCAAATGTGCACAACGGCATTTTTGAGTGCATCAAGAACGAAAGTAAAACATTTCCGGCCACTTCAAGTAAGAATTACGTTCTTTCTAATTTAGATACTACTTAGTTCTTTTTGTTACTAATATTATGTATGCTACTCTTTTGAGAATATTTGAAGTTGTGTTTTAGAAAAAAAAAAAAAAGTACAAGGCTAAATTTGAAGTTAAATTTCCCTGATATAAATATATATCCACTAATTGTTAATTCAATTGCATCCGAGCAGGTGAAAGCAAAGTCACATCAGCTCAATTATCACCACTCACATCTGCAGCAGTTTCTACAAAAGGGGTGGAAATGAAAATGTGACGTGTTAAATCCTCTGCTCTACAAGTATAAATCAACCCTTTAATTCGCTCACACCCCATTACATCCATATTGGTTTGAAGGCAGTCATGTGCAATTGTAAATTTTATCGGCTGGTTAATAATGTCGAGTTTGTGTACATCATCTGGCTGCAACAGCAAATATCGGCATAATTACTATGTGTCTATGTGTCTACAAGAACGCCAACTGAATAACCGCACTCACCACTACTTTGAAAACGAGGACAACAACAAGCTTATGTGAAAAACATCACTACCTCTGCGCTTCAAAACCAACTATCAATCCAAAACTGGCTTTTGTCTACTTATGTCATCCCCATAATGTCCGATATGCGCAACGATCGCTACTAAGTATCACTGTCATATGAGTGAGCCAAGCTTCTAGTATATGTACATATATGATTATCCTCTCATTAGTCGATTTTTACATATAACGTAATATTTTTGGTTTATTTAGAGTAGTCATCATAAGCCAGTTGAAATTCAACAAAAGAAACTTCCATTATCACCTAATCATCACCATCACTACTACTACTACTACTTCTACAAAAACACCTCAACAACTGAGATCAAGTTTTTCTGCGTAGGAAATAAAAAAAAAACGGTTAAATTTTTTTCATAGCATAGCAAGTTTATCAGCTGGCTACAAAATCAGCTAATGTGGTTCAACAATCCGACAAGAAAGAATGCAAGAAAATATATTTATGTATGTACATAAAGAAAAAAAAACAACAAACTATTAACCTAACAACGGTTGACAGTTAAAAAAAAAGGTAAAAATGCAGTTGACATGGCAAAAGTGGAATTAATTTGCTTAATTCTTATAATTTAAATTAAAATAAAGACCGAGGCGTTCGAAATATTTAATGCGATTTATTTATTTTGTTTATATATTTGCGTATGGAAATCGCATTTATTGTCAAAAACAAAAATGAATTTTCACACCCACCCACTATTTGTACAATTGCAATTTTATCTTTGACGAGTTCATATCAACAACGTTCAGCAACAAACAAAAACAACACGTTTACCAATGGTACCCAATTTATGGAGTTTTTTTGTGCTTATTTGCAAATCTTAAATTTGTTTTATATCAACCAATTATTAAATCATTTCTTTCTTTTTTGTATAACAATTTTTTACAGGTCACGCTCCCCACGTCGCACACGCAGTCGTTCGCGCAGTTTTTCAAGAGACAGACGCAGCCGATCAGATTCTCGTGATCGCCATTAGATATAATATGAATTTTAATCAAAAGTGAATTTCCAAAAACACAAAAACAAAGAAAATAATGCTATTTTCTTTAAATCAATATCTACACTTCACAATCATATATATATAAAAATGAGAGAATAACTTATCATAGAATAAGTTTTAGTTTTGAGACTAACATACACACACACTATATGCAGAAAAGAAATTAAAGAGTCCAGATTTAAGACGAAGAAGAAGAAGTTACGTTTTCGCAGCGTAAATGAAAAATTCGTTTGAAATCTCTTGAATTTGAAAACATACAAATGTTTGTACATACATAAATGACGGAAACGGAAGAATATCATCAAAGGCTAAAAGAAACACTTTTAATAACATAATCTCTGCCTATTCAACAAAATTTCTAGTTTTCAAAAAGCACCCGTTCAAGGTAAACCTTTAATTTTCTACTGATTTACTGTTGTATGTACGTTTGTGAATAATTGCTTACATATGAAAAACCCGTATTTTTAAGTCTTGCTAATTTTAAAGTACAATAAAATAAATTTAAGATATTTAAAAATACCAAAAAAAAAAAATGTTTTTTATTTCTTCAACTTTTGGAAATACATACATATTTTATATATTCTAGTTGTAATGAGATGTGGGTTGTGTATTTGTTTAGTTGTTTGTTGTTGCATTTTAGGCAGCGATTAGCTGGTTTCGCGAATTTTAGTTGTGTTTTTGATTTCGTTCTCCTTTATAGTCGATTTCGTATAATTGCAGAGCACTAAGATACTCTTCCAGCAGCGATTGTCACTGATGGTTGCCTCCTTGGGCGGCGTGTTGTCGGCAGAGGTGATTGGTTGTGCAATGTCCCAAAAATGGTGTCAATAATTCCATGGGCAGGGGAAATATGATGGTTGAATTCTTTTCGGCCGAAATACTGCTAAGCGTTTGTAAATACCGCAACTGTAATGATAAATACAAAAGTTCGAAGTAAATAAGTAAATTCTTTAAACTAAGTGCACAATGGTTGTTCCACTATTACAAGAGCGAAAACAAAAAACTCATAGTAGAGAGAAAGGAGAAGTAGTAACGTGATCCAGGGTTTATTGGGGCAGTTACACCCCACGCGTGGGGTCTCTATTCATCTGTTTCGTATGTCAGACCATAGTGCATTTGGCTCAGTTCTTGTTCCGTCTGGTGTCACTCTTGATTGTGCTCCGGCCTGCTAGTACACACAACACTTACACATCACTACCTCCCACCCCATATTAAGAGCCATTTCAACTTTATTAGTTTTTTTTGCAATCTTTTGGTGCGGAGGTTTGTTTTGACGTGTGTGGTTGTTGGTAGGCGCTTGACCAGCAGCCATTGTAGGATTTACATACATATTGCAATAGAAAAAAGTGGAGGTGACAAATGTATATCATGGTTGATGACGCTCCCTTCCGTATTATGTACAATTGCCTGAGCTCACCAGGCATAACAATTGCCAATGACCCCAGTGACCCCATCAGACCATTTGCCAATAATTTTGTCGATCAGAAACTATATCGAGAGCCTTCCTCATACCAATCGTTAACGTTATCATTGGCTAGCGTCAATTCCGTATGATAGCTTCGACCGCTGCCGCAGACTTCATACCAGCAGGAAGCATTTCAAAAACTCGCTAAAAATTCCAAATGATAATGCGGATCTAACATCAAGGCGTAAATGACTACACCAAGTTAACCCCGAAGTCCTCAAATCAACATCCAAAGACACAATTAAGATATTTCGATATGGTACATATATCGACAATAACCGCCTCTTTGCATTCCTCTTAAACCTACTTATCTAACCCCCATCCCACTGGTCCGAGCCCGTCCAAACAGCTCATTCCCTGGAACTCCAGTTAGATGACCTCGATGACTTAGGTTGTTGTTGTTGTAACCGCAAAAAAGTTTTGGGGTATGTTGCCGGAGTGACAGTCTTGGGCCGGAAAAAATGTCTGGGTCGTTCCGGTATAAAGACCCGATTGTCGCGGAAACTATTTTATTTCCGTCGCCTTACCGCGGGTAAATTCTTGAACCCCTAAACCGATGTCCTTCCTCTATTATCGTAAACCTTTGAGACCTTGTTACACCGGTTGTTCACCCACCACCCACCACCCACTCTCAGCAGCACATCTGCAGAAGTGCACAAAAACCTCCACCGCTCCAAACATTCGGAAAACTCATGAGCGTAAATAAAACCGACACTGCGTGCGAACTGTCCTGGTATCGCAGAGTAGTTAGCAGTTGTTGGTAGAATTTAGAAGTTATAATTTCAATCTTATGGTTCCGAAGAAAGCTGTCTTCTCGGTGCTATTTTTCAATTTTCATCTCAAAATTTCTTCGACCACCAGAGGGCATGTCCTTGTTCTGAAATGACACCAGCTAAACGGAAGAGTACCTGCTAAATACAATACGACAACACTAATATGGCAAGGTGTACTTCTTCATTCAACATACGTCCGTGATATAGCAATCCGAACAGAGTCGATAGCCTGCAGTGCCTGGGATAGGTACCATGAAATGTGTTTGGCAACATACAGTACAATCAACCCGCCGTTAATAAACTTCGTAAGACGTAACCGTACTTGTAGTGATGAATACTCCCATTCCCTATAGTCAAAACTCACCTAAATACCTCACTTTTTATCTCCTATATATTATCAATTCTTATAACTGTTCTAGCCAGAGCAAATTTTAGCCTCATATTTACCATTACTCACTTGCAAAGCTGACGGACTGGCCGATATAATTTCAGATGCCTCTCTCAAAGCACGCGAGGACTTCATTTCACCCTCGGCTGCGATAACTTTAGCGCGTGCCTCACGTGCTGCTTCCGCTTCAGCTGCCATCGCGCGTTGCAGTGCCGTTGGTAGCGAAACATCCTTACTATAAGAAAAAAATTAAGACAATATTTTTAAAAGAAACTAAAAAAAAAAAAATAAAAGACAAAAACTTGCATCTCCACACGTTCCACCTTCACGCCCCACGGGTCGGTTGCTTCATCCAATGAAACTTGCATGGTATGCGAAATCGTTTCACGCTCCGTCAACAATTCCGATAAGTTGCGAGTGCCCAGCACATTACGTAACGTTGTGGCGGCCAGCAGACGTGTTGAGTGACTATAATTTGATACCTGTATGACAGCCTTCAGCGGATCACTAATGCGATAATAGACTACCGCATCAACTGTCACGGTCACTGAATCCTTGGAGAGCACCTCCTGTGGTGGCACGTCAAATGAGACCGTACGCAAATCCACTTTACAATAGTCATCCACGCAGGGTAGCACAAAGAAGACACCGGGACCGCGTGCGCCGCCGCTACGCAGCCGACCCATACGAAAGATGACGGCGCGCTCATACTCGGACACAACTTTGAAGCAGACAAATATGGAAATGGGAAAGGTGAGTATCATGACGACGATGGAAATCGCTGTAGCGAGTATCTCCACACAGCCCATTTCTTCATTCTCTGCTACGAGAAAGAGAAGAGAAAATTAAATTTAATTTATTGATACTCATTGTTGGGCGTACATTTCAAATTGTTTAGCTTATTAATTAACTAAAAGGTTATGGCTAATTTTAAATTTTTTATGGATTTTTCAATTGCCTTTAGAATTGAAATTCATTTAAAAAATCACTGGAAAGTGTTTAATATGTAGGTGAATGAATACATAAATATATAAATAAATATTTGGATATATAGGTATGCATGTATGTATGATTGCAAAATGTTTTTTATGTAAACCACAACATGTTTTTGAGTCGTTCATATTCGTTTTAATTACTAACTAACGCACGTAAATATGTTTGGAAGGTATTTAGAGACTTTTTTTATTAACAGAAAACAATTTATGTGCTTGTAGTCAGTGCATACATAAAAATAAAAAATACTAGTTGATAACTTGAATCCAACTGATCATTTTTTTACTAACCAGTTCATCTTCCATCTATTGCCCATGTAAGCAAGTTGCATTTTTAACAAGCTGCTGTGCTACGAGCTGACAATTGCCTTTCTATGCATCAGCTTCATAATAGTTGTATTCCAGTTCACTTAGACATGCTGCATTTCTAATTCACAAAAAAAAATAAAAAAATTAAATTGAGTTTAGTTTGCCTGCTGTCAGAATCGCACAGCAAACCTCACGCACCACTCTGATGACCTCTATGTGGCTAACGACAAGCGCTCAATTTGAGGATTTGTAATTTTGAGAAGTGGGAAGTTATTGCGGTATTACCACCTATCGGGTATGGCGATGTACCACCCATTGTAACAGGTATTTAGGTATTTAAAATATGAAAAAAATGCAAATGTTTTTTGCTTCATCATTTAAACTATTATATTTTACGTGTGGAAGGATTTCAAATCCAAAGTGAAGAAAAAAATTATGAACAACAAGAAAGAGTCGTAGTGGATGATGTGCCCATAGCCGAAAGTTCACCTGACACAAATTAGACAACGACCAGCGCAACAAAAAAGGCAAAAAACCGCCAAAAATCTATTAGGGGAATTAGTTGTGATTTTTTTGTCTAATTACCTGGTTTCAGGCTAAGAAAATGTGTCTACTTGTTGCCTGAGAAGTCTTCGATGAACATTTCAATTACCTAAACAAAGGCGAAGCGTTGAACGTGACGATCCACATTGACGATCGTCACCGAAGATTTAGACGATATTCAGCATACGACCGATGAAGCGATTTTTCGGCCGAGCTCCTCCTCCGATTTGTGGTTTTGCATCTTCATGTTTTTCCAACAAAATGGAGGACCTACAGTTTATACCAAGCTGCCTCTGAACGACTGACGGTTTCTTTTATGAGAAGCTTTATTTCATGCTTTCAGAAATACGCTCGGAGGGGTTGACATTCCCTGATGAGGGGTTACCGCAATTTTAATTTAATTTTTAATTTGAATTCATTTTCTATAACTTTTTTGGATGTTAGTACGACACCAGGACTTGAACCCGAGCCTACCGTATGTCAGTACACGATCCTAACCACTCGGCTACCGCGGCCGTCGATATTCAGCATAAGCAACTCACAAGACAACCGGTTATACTCACAGGAGTTGACCCGGATTTTATCTGGCCAAGGGCTGTCACCTTTTCGACCATCACCCATATGAACCGCTACAACAACAACACCATATTCAGCATAAGACCGATTATTTCCCGTTATTAACTGACTTCTATGCAAATAACCAACTAAAGGACGTTTTTTTTGGTCCACCGAAATAACCTACTTATCTAACCCCCATCCCACTGGTCCGAGCCCGTCCAAACAGCTCATTNGATGCGAATCGTAACGTAACTGTGAATGGTGAGTGCTAACGTGAGATTATATCAAACTTTATTTTTGCCCAAAGTACCAGAGCTTGACTTGCATGACATGTGGTTTCGACAAGACGGTGCCACATGGCCCACAGCACGCGTAACAATAATGAACTTATTGAGAGGCTAGTTCGGTTCGGTGACCGATTTAACGCCTTTAGACTATTTTTAGTGGAGCCATGTTGAATCTAATGTCTATACAGACAAGCCCGCTTCAATTGACGAATTGAAGGACAACATTGAAGCACTCATTCGTGAGATACCGGTCGAAATGTTGGAAAGAGTACGCCATAATTGGACTAAGTAGCATGAAATAATCTTCAAACATTAAATTATATGGTCCCTACTATCGATTCAAATAAAAATTTCATGCATTTTTCTGAATTTTATGTGTTTTTTTGTAAAAACTTTCCTTTAGCTCTTGGAAGCTCAAACTTTAGTATGATTTCATCTACAAAGTACTAGTATTTAACTATAATTTTTGTATAAAAATCTATATTCTCTCTGCAGGGTTTCTATATCCCAGTTAAAATTTTGAGCTTTTCTTTACCAAAAGAGCAACATAACAAGAATTTTATGTAAGAGTTGTTATAAAGTCTGAAAATCAAGAAATGTCGGATTTTTAACATAAAATATTTTCGTTTCTTTCTATCAGCTTTGATTTTTTTTTTTTTTTCAACCCACAATTTCATATGACCTTTTCTACTCCTGAATTCAAAATTTCCTAAAAAATAAATATGCATTTTGGAATTATGAATTGTGAGTGCTTACTAACATAAAAGTTCTACGAATTTCATCATTGAGCTTAAAAAATGCTGTCCGAGTTTTTTGAAGTTTATATGTATGCTATGGTAATGACGATCTTATATAATCTTATAAACTCTTATACCCTCATTTTCTTACTATAACCTATAACCGATCCCGTTATTGCCTTTTGTGAAAGGAAAAGGCCAAACCATACTGCATTTGTTCCTCGCCAATGTATATGTGTATATATATCCAAAACCTGAATATAAGCTTGATTAAAAACCTCCTATAAAGTTATACGGTGTCAAATCAACCAACCAATTTCTCTCGATTTCCATACAAATATAACTTGAACGTGACTCCTCAGAACTATTTCAATTGAAATTAGCATACAAATATAATTAATTTGCTTAAGGGGGAAACCTGGTTTAGAGGGTCAAGAAAATCGATTTTTTGAAACTTATCTCATTCCATTAGAAATATATTCAGAAATATTTTCACAAAATTTCAGAGTCAAATTCCTAATCGTTCCGCCGAAATGGCCTCTGAGAGGCAATGCGCTCAGGAGACTGATAAGCGGGCGCGATAACTTTGAACGCGATTTTCTCAAAACAGTGTTTTTCTGTTTTTTTTTTTGCACACGATTAAACAAGTTGTAATTGTCGCATTTTCATAAGTGATACCTTGTTTTACAGCTAATAGTATAGGCTTCTATATGAACTAAAAAATCACAATTGAAAGTTTTTTTTTTTTAACTTTTTTCAATAAATTATCTTAAAATTTCTTCAGGAAAACGCAAAATTTTTTATAAACAGTCATAAAATGAATTATTTTATACATTTCTTCTTATATTTCTTAGGTTCACATAGAAAAACAACTCCCAAGCTACAAGAAAAGTATTCGTTTTTATGTTTCAGATGAAAACTACGATCGCTATCGTGTTCACAAAATGGACTCTTCGAGCGAGAAGTGCCACAAACAAATACGAATTGTTATTGCTTAACAGTATCAAATAAAGTAAAAGTAAATTTTTTTTGCAAGATTTGTGTATCTATACCTATTTCAAAAGTACTTGAAACATTTTATACGTAAGGCAACCTAAAACACTGTGCCCAATATCATACAATTTTCAGCTCTCTTCCAGGTTGTTCCCCCCATAATTAATATTTTTTCCATGAGGCGTTAAATTGAAATCGAATTTTTAATGCAAATTTGATTGTGCAATAAAAATATAAATGCATATACATACGTACAACCAAACAATATGAATAGCTAATAAATTGTTTTAATTGAGTTCAAAATTGCAAAATACGCTCATACATATATTATTTCTCTCAATTGAGTAGAAACTAATCGCAAAGTGTTTATTACATTTTTAAATTATTATTAAATGCATTTTTATTATTGTAAAATTGCAAGAACATTCATTTAATTATTTACATTTGTACATATGTATGTAATTGTTTATATATTAAATTTCTATTTTATACATATATATGCATACAAACATACATACATAGATGTCTGTATATATAATATAAATTCGCATTTTTCCACTTGTGAAAATCATATTTCACGAGCTTCTTCCCTACGTACATACATACACACACATATTTATTTATATAGCTGCTACTTGAAAATTGGAAACAAATTTTCAACTGATTGCGCTGTCGTTGTTGAGAACGTGAATAATTTCGTTCATTGCAGTTTTTGGCAGGCGATTTATTCGTAAATAATTTAATGGCGCATGACTAAACTCATTCAAAACGATTCATTGCTTTTGGCATTTGAGATTTGAAAAATCATCGGAAATCGTTTAAGCTGAAGATTACGTTGCATATTGGCAAATAAAATGTGATAAGTCAGAATATTTTACGATATACTCGCACATATGTACGTACATACGTGTATGGCATTAACATACATCAGTTAGTCAAATGTCGAAAAAAGAATGGTATGTATGTATTCATACAAAAAAATAAATTGTGAATATTCCTAATAATGAATAAATGCTAACATAAACATTCAAAAACTGCCAGCTTTTACCGTAAATTTAATACACGCATACGAGGTGTGACAATTAAGTAATGAGACTGATTATATTACCCTGATTGTGGTAAGCCTGCGTCCTTGAAATTCACTTTACCTTCTTCCGGCATCCTTCTCCTCTCTATTGATATATTTGCCATTGCTCTAGCTTGTTTAGTTCGCCTGCTGTGTCGTGTTGAAATCAAGAGCAATAAAATTTTGCGCCAAATTTTGCGAAACAGCTTCGGAAACGTACGTTAAAAGTGTAAATTGTGCCCAGGTGTTTCGAAGGCATAAAGAGTTTCAGGAGGGGCTTGCAAATCGAAGGTGATAACGATGATTATTGCCTTTTTTGATAGCCGTGGACACAAAGA